CAATCTGGGTTTTAACACGGGCTCTGTGATTTGGACACACACTCGAGCTTGAGAACCACTGATCCAATGCAACCACTGCACTGACGAGAAAGACATGAAGCCAGTAACTTCCTTCAATTCTTTTGTCAAGTTAGTGACCAAGGTCACTGGACATAGTTCTCAATGAACTTTCAAAATGACTGTTAAGCTATACACCTGAATCCAAGTAGTTCAATAGGATCTTACAGAACAAATACATCTTGATCTACCGCAGCATGGATTCCTATATCATTGGTATATACTCGTAGTTAGATAGGCAGGCAGATATAAAATTTTTGTCATGGGTAATTTACATTTCACATCTAAAGGTCACATTACTGACCTTTCCACAAAAGCAACAGCTGAAATCTCACAGGCTTTTTTAGTTGTTTGGTTTGTTGGGTTGGCTTTTGTTGCGATGGTAGTTAGTTATAACCTGTTATAGTTGTGTTGTGGTTCGGTTTTGAGGGTCCCAGCAGTAATGCATGGGATGCGTGGCTGGTAGTTTGTGTGGGCCCCCCGCCGCCCCCACCAAAGAGGCGTTTAAAGAGCAATCATAAAAGACTAAGAGGCCAAAAATTGTTAAAAGAGAAAGTAACACCTTCCTCTGCCCTGCAAAAAATGTCCCATTTTATCTTGGAATGCACCGTATGTTTTTGTACTTTTTTAAAAAAAAAAAAACAACAGATTTATATTTTCATGTATGTTTTACTTACTCTAGTACAAAATTAGTTTTCATTTGTGGAACACAATAGCGATGGAATGAGAGGAAGCTAGCCTTCGTCCGAAGAGTGAGGATGGGCCTGTCATCCAGCTGCATACCACCACAGGTATGTGAGCCTGCCGTACAGCACTGAGAGCAGACAATGCATCATCTCCTATAAGGTCTAGACCACAGATTGGGCGGTGTCATCCACCCACCAGCATAACATCTACCGCATGAAACAAATTCTACAATTTTCAGCCTGAGGGCTCTCGTTCCAAACAGATGTTTGATGTATCTCAAACCTTTTCATATAGCTATTTCAAAGGCTAGTAGTGGTTATCTGCACAACTACACATCTGTTAATATTTACGTTTCAAATGTCCCCCTTGAGACGTTTATAACTTGGGTGTTAAGATCATCACAGACCGAGATTTAGAGGTTTAAGAAATAAATGTTTCCATTCCTGTTTTTCATACTTGCAGCGGTTGTTTCGGTGTCATACCCCATTAGAGATATTTTCAGTCCTCATTTCTGACTCCATCAATATATATGTAATTAACTTCGATTTTACAAAGCAAATTCTCTGACTAGCACAGGTCAGTGTCTGATTTTACTTCTCTGAAGGAGAAATCATGGACGAGTGCAGGAGGCAACAGAAACAACTCCTCAATCTGATTTACACTTCCAGCACTCTCTGTGTGACCTAAGCACCAAATCTTCTTGCGACTTTATTTTTCAATCCGTCATCAAATAAGGGCAACAGTTCCTGCTGTGTATCTTACAGGAAAGAAAGCAGTCACCGAGTTAACAATAATTCCTCTGGAAAGACGGCATTCCTTGGAAGAACTGCAAATTCAGGGTAGTTTCTGGTACTCGGCCGTCTCCTCGGCTCCACAATATACCCTTGGAAGCTAAATTAGAGGAGTTCAGTTATTTGAACACCCTTCGTTCAACAAATATTTATGAGCACTCACTATGTGTCAGGCAATATGTGGAGGACTGAGGATACAATGGCCAGCAAGACAAATCGAGTGCCTGCTCTTCACAAGACATCTGAAAAGGAATATCGGTTTACTTATGGGACAGACTTCCCTTTAGTTTATATGCCAAGAGCTCAAACCCATTTGATTTGTAAATAATTACTCACAATTATAATTACTCATAATCCCTCCACTCTGTTCCTAAGAAAGGGAGACCAAGGAACTACATGAAAAGCTCATAGAACACACACATAGGCGAATGCTCTATAATAGGAAGGCCTCACATAGGTCAAAAGGATCACCCAGTAAACACCTTATAATCTATGAGCAGGAAGCACAGTGGTGAGCCCAAGAAAATGAATCCATATTTTTCTTTTAAAAGCAGAATACCTTAGCCTACATGTTTCCCTGTCAAATCCTGCACTTAAGTGTGCTATCCAATAATACTATAGCCACTACTCACTCGTGGCTATTTGTATTTAACCCTCCGTCAGGCGCAATTGATCTCACAGATTGTTTTGCATTTCTGTTGATTTTTATACTGAATTTATGCAATAAACATATACTGGTTTTACTTTGTGGCAAATTAAAATTTCACTCTGAATAAATAATAAGCATGCTTACACGTTATTTTCATTCATTTTTCAATTTAAATAATGTCATACACGCATCTAGTGGATGCATTGCGCCCGAACTCGCAACTTTTGCATTGCGCCCGAAAAGAGGGTTAAATCAATTAGAAATTCAGTTCCCATGTCGCAGTAGCCACACTTCAAGTGTTCAATGGCCTTAAGTGGCTAGTGACGATCACTTCTAAGTCATTAAAAATATATCATTATCATCATTTTTCTATCACCTCAGAAAGCTCTCCAGGATAGTGCTGCTCTACAAATACCTCTGGTGATGCTAAGTCTGAAAATTACGGTGTAATGAAATGTGACAGAGCACCTGGGCAGTGCCATTTCTTCCTTCCTAAACAGAGTTGAGACGTGGTCAGGTTCAGCATCTCTCCCAGGGGACATGAGCAACCAAGAAAATTCATGCTGGCCCATTAGCCAACTGGGAAACAAGGGAAAACCTGAACACATTGTGCCCCATCCTTCCTACTCCTTTCTTAAGAATGTGTCAGCAGTATTTTGTATTCTCTGCGCAAAGATGTGTCTTTCTCGAGTAGCTAACAGCAGGGGAGGTGAGCCCAGTTAAGAACAATGATGGGTGACACAGGCAAACACCAACGCAAATAATGCTGCTCAAATTCAATTCGGACCAACGTCGTAAATTTAAGTGCCTACTGTGTGCCAGTGCCACACAGTCAATAATCACCATCGCCATCTTTGACGACCTTAACTTAGTAGGGCGTGTCCAACTTGTAAAACAAAACAATATGAGATGTTGTGATACATGCAGTGAGACGAGCATGTAGGAGACACAGAGGTGACAGGGTATTTTTAAAAGGTGTTCTGAGGAGCCACCGGGGGAAACTTCCTGAAGGAGATACCAAAGCAGCAGAGGGGCCACCGAGGCAGAGCTGTGCAAAGGCACCACAAGTGGTTTGGCAAAGCTGGGGAAAGTGTCTTTGGTGGTCGAGGGGTGGGGCTGAGAATAGAGGGAGGGAGATGGGGCTAGAGAGCTCTTTCCATGCCCAACTCCAACATGACACTACACACATTTATGTCCCCTTCCCTTCTCGGTCTGAACACCTTCCTCACCCAACACTGCAAGCCACGTGAAAACCAACCCCTCAAACCTGGTAAGTAACACGCCTGCATCTGCCATATAGTTAAGAATATTAGGTAGCCATCACTAGTAGGAAGACCAAGATGTTTCTTTGTGACACAGTACCACTTAGCAACACGTATTTAATAATACAAAAACATTTTCATTGGAATCCTTTGTTTTCAGGGGGAAAAAAAAAAAACCTGTCTCCTGTGAGTTTCATTTGGAATAGCCTTCAAGAATATATCAATGGACATACTTACAAAACAAATGGATTACCCCCACACACGTCTCAGTATTTCCACTAAGAGTTGATCTGACCAGAGGACAAATGAAATAAATCAAAGGGTGAAGGGGGCTGTAGAAGCCACACTTCTGTACTCCAGACCAGGGCAGTAGATGTTTTCCTCCGAAATTTTCATGGCAAAACTTCTGCTACTCTGCTCGGCTGCCTTGCACTGTCAGCCTCGTCCATCCTCTGACCACCAAAACTGTATCCTGCCCAGCGACCTAAAGGACATCTGTGGCTGATCACGTCAATTCTTGGAAAATATCTGCCTCTTCCGGACTCTTCCCTTCACTGTACACGTATGTTCAAGTCTCAACACACAAACAGTTGCGAAGAATCTGTTCTCTTCAATTTACTGGGGATCCCCTCTCTCTTCTCCTCACAATAAACTCCTTGACAATGCAAGCAGCCTATAGGCCTTAACGAATTCACCAAGTAAGTGCTTTTCCTTTTAATACAAGCAAAACGTTCCGGATAAAAATACATATAGATTTATATAAACTCTCTGGCCCGCAGGCAAACATATAATCCCTTCTATTCACACAAACATGGGACCCTTAGGTCACGGTGGATTTCCAATGCAGCCTACGTCATGGTTGAAAGCATGGGTTCTGGAGCCAGCCTCCCTGGCTACCAATGAAGGATGTCACCAACCAATTCTTACCCTCCTGAACTTCAGCCTCCCAACTGTCAAAGGGGGAAACAACGTTTCAAGTACGTATATTTATATCCATGTCTGCCCACAATGCCAGCACATAGGGACCTCATTTTGTGACAGATCAATATGTGCAATTATTTTAGGCTATTTTTACTATTTAGTGCCCAAGGAAAGATGGTTTCATAACTGTCTATTCCATCAAGCTGGTTACCTCTATCTATAAGTTGTCACACTGGCACACACACACACACACACACACACACACACACACACACACACACACACACACACACTGTGCATCATACACACTTAGGAAAGGTTTTCTTCCTTTCTTTTAAGTACACTATGCCCAGGCTCTATTTGGATTTGGGTTCAATCGGTCTGGGATCCGGCCGGGCATCGGAGTTCTTTCTAAAGCTCTCCAGTTGATTATAACGTGTAGCCAGGATTAAGAACCACATATCGGTCTCTACATGCCCAGAGATACAGACACACGCTGGGAAAGTCTGTTCAATTTCTGACCGCATCAGCGCCGGCCGGCCCTCTAGGCCGGATGAACGAGGCTCGTCTAGATGCCGTGACAACGAACTCAAAGTGCGGTGGGATTTCCACCCACGTCCGAACAGTGCTCACCGTGAAGCAACTCCCACGAACTCCACCAGACGCAGCGCTGCCCCTAACGCGATCCCGATCTGACGGGGGCATAGCCCCCCCCCCAAGCCCGCAGCGGGCGCCTGGCCCTTGGGACGCGTGCGTCACCGGGCCCTCCTCCCGCGCCCCAACCCCCTCCTGCCCACGGCACGTGACTCGACACGCGCCAGCTGCACGCGGGCTCCATCAAAACAAAAACAGAGGAGGCTGGGCGGCAGCGGGGGCGCGCGGGGATGGTGGCGCGCGGGGGCGGCAGGGAGCAGGCGCGCCCCCGCCGCCACTGCCCAGCGCCGCGGCCGCGCCTAAGCCGCCCCGGGCGCCGCGGGCCGCGCGCCCCGGCAGGCTGGGGCCGGGAGGGCAGAGGGCGCCACCCTGTTTACAGCCCTCGCTCCTGGCCGAGGGGGGGGACCCCGCCCGGAAACGGTCTCCCAGGAGAAAGCTCCGGAGTGCGTACCCACCGCTGCAGGGACGCTCGCTGCTCGGAATAAAAGCGTCGCCACGGCCCTGGGGTCGCGCCCGCGCGGGTCTCCGCTCCTCCTCGGCCCGCCGCCCACGCGGCTTCATGTCAGCCCCGGTCACGACTCTGCTACGCACTTCACGCTCCTCTCTCAGCTCCGGCGCTTCCGCAGACCACCCTCACGTGGCCGCCGCCTCCCTGCCACGGCACTCCCCCGCGACAAGGGCTGTGGACCCCCGCGCACTTAGGGACCCTGAGCCTGCTCCCACCCGGCGGGACGTCACCCCTCTCGGACCACCCAGCCCACCTCTTCTGCCCAGGGGTGAGGGTGGGGACACACATACAAGCTGTCAGAAGCCTAGCTTTCTACCTGACGAAGCTCACCCTCACCCTTAAAACATCCCCACTCACCCTCAGCGTAGCTTCCAACTGAATCGGATAAACGGGGGATGGGGGTGGGTAACGTCTTGAATTTTCTCCGTCATTTGCCCAGAAAAATGCCAAGAGGCAGCTCTGCCCATCCACTCGCCTTGAGACTCCCCGACCACGTCGTCCCACCCAATGCAACTTACAAATAGGAATGCCCACCACACACCTGCTACGTCACCTGCCCTCTGGACACCTGGTGACCCACCCTGCCCGCCTTCTGGAGCCTGCGCCTGGGTACCGTGGGAGCGATCCTTTTCCGATACCTTAAAGTAAGAAGGAGTCGGGGGACAGGCACCCTCTTGCCCAGCCCGGGAGCGCTATCCTCCCACCCCCCGGCTCCGAAGCAAACCAAGGAGGCATCCTACGTCCCTCCGGGCGAAAGAGAGTAGCCAAAGGCCAGAGTGCCAGGGGTGTTTTTCCCTTGGAGAGCCCAGAAGACGCGGCCTCCATAAGCACTCCCCCCTCCCCTCCCACGCGCGCGCGCGCGCCGTCACCTCCTTATTTCTGGTCCACAGCAAAGGTAGGGTAGGTGGGAGCAATCAGCGAGTGCTGTCTAGGCTCGGGATGTCGGTCTCCGCGGAGTGCAGAGGTGGGACCTCTAAATGGAAACCGTCACCCCCCTCGGTCCCCTCCTCCTCCTCCTCCTCTGTTTACCTCAAGTTTGAATTTTATCTGCGCAACATTAGCTGGAATGCGGACATTGAAAAAAAAAAAAAAACTCCACCCGGCAAGCAGCTCCGGAGAAGCCATGTGGCATCTGGCCACCTCCGAGCGGGGGGGAAAAGTGCTCTGAGCAACACAAACATGGCGAAATCGCCCCGGCATTCCTGGGGAAACGCCACGACCCCTACCTTCCCTCGCCCCCGGTTCCCCAACATCCCGGCTGTGACCTGTGGCCCCCTCCCGGGGGCAGGCGTGGGGCCCCGAGGAGCCCGAGGGTGGGACCGCGGTGCGTGCAAAATAGAAAATAACAAGAGTCCACCGTGGAAATGTTTGTGCTGGACCATCGGACCCAACCGCCTAGCCAGCAGCGAGCGGACGCCCCCCAGGAGGTCTCAACCCAGAACAAAACGCCCGTCCCGAAGTCCTGCTGGTGCGCTGGGGCCGGCTCTCCCCACCCTCCGGAACTCTTACCTTCCAGCTAAACACACGCCGCTGCTTCAGTCCCTTTCTCGTCCCTTCCTCCGGAGCGAGACGCCAGGGGGAAAAGGATGCGCACGTAGATTTGTAGAGAGCATATTGTTCTAGATTGCCCCTTGGGTCATCACAGGGAGCGATGGAGGCTCCGGGGACAGGTGCAGAGCTGGCCGAGGCTGCCGGCTAAAAGTTGTTCTCTCCGCGGTGGGCCGCGGGGTCCCCCGGCCGGAGCTGAGGACCGGGTCTCCCTGCCGCGCCCCCCCCTTTCCCCCGGAGGCCCCCTTCTCCTCGCCGGCTCAGCTGCAAGCGCGGTGGCGTAGTTTCTCTTCCTCCCACCTCTTCTCACTCACTTGTTTTCGTAGCCGTGGGCTCCCCTAATGCTTTCCTCTCCACAATGTTGTTTCATTATATCATGTCCATCATGTGACACCGGAGAGGCCTCTCTATGGAAACTTAAAGGGGTTCCCACGTGACTGCAGCAGCAGCAGCAGCAGTAGCAACAACAGCAGCAGCAGCAGCAGCAGCAGCAGCAGGACTGGCGGCGGCGGCGGCGGCGGCCGCAGCGTTCTTACCACCACCCGCCGAGAGTCCTTCGCAGCATCCCGGAGGGGCTCGCGGCGCTGCCGAAGCCCCGATCCGCGAGCCGCAGCATCCGGGAGGCTGTGGCGTCGGTGCGTGCGTGCAGCCTGTGCTCGTTACATAGGAAACCGAACAGAAGGAGCGTCCTTAAAGTCCTTTTTCACCGTCACAAAACCCACGCTCTGCGAAAATGACATTTCGTGGCTTCTACTTTATTTGGCCCAAGAGCGATGAACTTCTCTGTCAGGTCTGATTCAATTGGACCAAGTTAAAAAAGAAACACCGGATTTGTCCCTCCGTGAGTTTAGCCGGCTCTTGGGTAGAACAGAAGTGACCAAAAAAAAAAACCACACAATAATAACAAATAGAATCAGGCATTGGATATATAATTACCATCATCACCAGCTTTGAAACTTTCTGGAATTTACATTCCTCCGGTAACTGTGGATGATGCTTGCAGGAGACAAAACGCGATGCAGTTTTTTTTCTCTTCCGCAGCTATATTAGGGTTTTGTTGCTGACAACAGTAAAAACTTGTTTGTGTCAGGAAGTGAGATACGAAGATTTGACCTGGAAGGTACAGACAAAACCCAAAGTGGCACTTTTGCGTTACTTTCTGACCACACTCCTTCAGAGGGTGAGAAGCAGCTGGTCTGCTGTAAAATGCATAGAGTGGGGATGGTGGGACATAAAATAATCAGAAAAACACATTTCCCCCCTTAATCAAACTTTACATGCCAGACACTAGAAATTACAGATAAACACATTTCCCCCCTTAATCAAACTTTACATGCCAGACACTAGAAATTACAGATATATGTGTATATACGTAGAGAAAAGCATGTGCATTTTTATATTTTGAACTGATCATTTTTGCCATCATATTTAGCATTTCAGTCAAGTATTTAACACTTGGAAAGACGTATTCAAATCCAGTGATGTGCGGACATGTTAACATCAGTTTTGAGCACCTTCAATATTAAATCTCAATCGCTTTATGGGCTGACAACTTAAATCCCCAATCTCTGCCTTAAAGTTTCTGTGGACCATGGAGATTTGAGCCTGTAAATCTACGCTAAATAGCTATTCCTATCTTTTGGTAAACGTGTTCCCATTTGTAAGGAACACTCCCTGCTGGGACTGGCAGAATTATGAAAAACTTCGCAGGAAACTGAAGAGTGGGGTGGAAGATCGTCCCTTCTTTTGGCTTTCCCTTGCCTGTATCTCTTTCCACCTCATCAGCCATGATGAATGAGCCCCACTGCATCCCTTCTAATTCCAGAAAATGTCCCCCAATTCTTACCTTCCCATCTAATGCGAAATTCTTCCACCGCTTGCCCCTTTTCTGCCCTTGCGTCCCAATTCAGCCCCCCACGCTGCCTGGGTACGTAGCTCAGGCCTTCCCCAAATACTCCCTCCCAGTCTCCCTTCCTCCCTTCCCCTCTTCACAGCTAGGTCTCCCTTCTCGGCAACTCGACCCCCTTACCTCTCACTGGCCTCCTCTGTTCTCCTTCACAGCCTGGCCCTTGACTTCTTGGCCTCTTCCCCCACTTCCTTACCTGCAATGTGTTGCCCCAACTGGGGTCTCCTTCACACCCTTCTCCGTGGTCCCATCCCTTCTGACGCCAAACCCGAGCATTCCTCAACGGCTCGGCCTGGTCGGCTTTGAGCATGTTTTTGTGCCCATGCCCCAGGGCTGGAAAAGGAGTGTGTGGTGCAAAGTGGGGGGGGGGCAAGAACCCCTCCTCGGCGGTGGCCCCTGGCTCGCCCCCCCTCCGCCCCTCCCGAGCCCGGGTTGCGGCGCTTCCTGGGCGGATGGTTAGGACTTGCTGCAGCAGCTGCGGTTCTGCTGTGTCATGCAAGGAGGCGGCAGCGGCGGCCGGAGCTGGAGGGGGAGGAGGGGACGAACCTGATCTCTCCGGTAGCGAAGTGCTGGAGGCAAACACCGAGCTCCCCCAGAGCCGCCCGGGAGCAGGGAGGGCTCCGCACCCCCGGGGGGGCCCTCCCCGCGGGGCAGATGGTAAGTGGGGCTGCGCAGGTGGTCGCCTTGGGAAGGGAGCGCGCAGGGGGGTTAGGTGGGGGAGGCGGGGAGAACCAGGAGTCACCCGGCCGAACTGAAGGAGCCCAGTGTCCAGTTGAAAGGGACCCAGGCCATAATAAGGATGACCAGCCAAACGCAGCAGTTAATTACCATTCAAATAACGCCCCGCCGTTGACCCAAGCTACACAGAGGAGTTGTGCATCCCAAACCCAGGACAGAGCTCGAAGCAATGATTCAGGGTTTGAGATCCGTCATCCCGTCAGCCCTGGCGCTTTAGGGTGCAGCTGGGTAGCAAAAGTCAACATAGACCATATTCCCGATAGCCTGGCTGCGCTTTAGGGGTTGTCTTGGTTAGAACTAGGGAAGGGTATGGAAACCTGCCCAGCCTCACTTTAGCCTGGAAAAAAATGGTCTTGGCCAGTGGCCTCAGACAAACAGCTACTGGAGCAATTAAACAATCAATAGGAAAAATAGCTTCATTCCCCTCACCACCCTCCTTTCCCAAGCTCTTGCAACTGGGGTGATTTATTCTGCTTAAAGGAGAAAGAAAACTATGCGTTTATATGCATTCCCTCCCACCCTAGCCCCCTTTCAGCCTCCACCCTACACAAACTGCCCGACTCCACTATTCACCCCACTTTCAGACCATCATTCATGTGGGATGAGGGGGCTGCCTTCCACGCTGAACAATTTCACCTCCTCTGCCTTTTACCATAGGGAATCAGAGACACAAAACCGACAGCAGTGAACGTAGGGCTGGGCACAGGCGAACATTACTTCTTGTACCTGAGTGCAATTCTTGGGGCACCCTATTTTATTGCTATTCTTCTTTTCCCTTTCACTCCCGGGAATTTCAAAGCACGTTCTGAAACATATATACGTATATGTCTTTTTATACTGTCAGTCATACATTTAGAAGTAAGGGGTTGGTGGGATTAACTGAAAAGGCTAATGACTGTCTCAAAAGCACATGCTGTTGCTAGGGAACTCAGTCTCATCCTGCTCGCTAATCACCAGCATGCTACGTGGAAGTCAAACTTCTCAGGGTGTCATTAAAATGAATAGCATTTGGTTAAAAGTGTTCTTGCTTGTGTCGTAGCATCCTGGATTATTATCGATTGCCTCACACCCACATATCTTGTTTTCCTAATTTGATTTCTGTATTTGCGTCACTGCTAGGGACACACAGACTACACCAGTCAGGTTCACTTCCTGTTTCTCAGAAGTGGTTTATATTTGGTCTCATAGCACTCGCTGGTACAACATTATCAAACTGATCCTCTTGGAAAGAAATCTGTGCTTTCCGTGAAAACACAGTAGCCCAATTAAATTCTAATTCCCCATGGAAAAATGCATCATTTGAGGAATCAACTCTGCCAGTTGCCATTTGAGAAAACCATTCTTGAAATGTAAAGCCTAGAAAATTCCATCGTCTTTTATTTCCCTTTATCCAGAATCTTCATTCCTCAGCATGAGAACGAAAACAAACTCAAGTAGAGAGTAGATTTAAGGATGATACTTCTAAAATGAAGCTCAGCAAAATACACGCTGAAGCTGGGGAAATCATTTAGACCAAATAAGGCGTAGAACTGAGTGGAATCCAGGCCTCAGGAGCAGAAGTAAGCTTGGGTTAGCACTGGGGTACTCTGAGAACAGAGTGTGATTACAAAGCTACACTACAAATAGGAGCCCATCACTTTGTGCCCTAATTGTCTCTTTTACTCATCTAGATCCCTTGCTTCCCCCCCCCCCCAGTTCCTTCCTCTTTATAGCAAGGATATCACAAAGGCACTATCATAAAGATAAGCACTATGTAAACAGTTTGGTGGGTTCTGATGTAATTTGTTTAGATGGAGAATAATAGGGTGTATATGGGATTGAGGAAAGGTCAGCTGAGTGAAAGTTAGGAAATTTGCTCCCACTTTTCCTGTAGACTAGATGACCTTGGGCGAGCCATGACAGGTCTTCTGTCAGCTTCCTCATGGACGTTTCACAAAAGCGCTGGACTAAAAGATGTCTAGGGTTCCTTTTCCATTTACAAAATTCTGTGATTATATTGAACTCACTACATAAAAATTTCAATTTTAGTTGGATTTTGCAATGTTAAATTTTGACACTGAAACTTTAGTAACTACCCATACAGACCTTGGAGGAAATCATAACGGGAAATGATTTGCTGTTGATACATCATTTTTTAGTGTCACTTGCTAGATAATCAAATGAAATCGACCTTACTCTCAATGTACTTACTCTCTGCTTGTGCGGTGGTATGGTAGGAGCAACAGGATCTAAGAGGTAGAAAGGATATAAAAGTGCATAGGAAAGGCTTTCAGACATTTTAGATTTAGTTAACTCAAAGTATTTGATGAGCAAAACGATGGCATGATGAGAAACAGCTAACAAGAAATAATCAACTGACTCCTCCTGGAGCTGTAAGTAATCTATTTACCTGTATTTTAATTAGCGACCGGCAAAAATACACCTAGCATAGATTTTTGAAGTTTTCAGATTCAAGATGTTAAGAAGTAAGTAGCATGAAGAAATGTGAGATTTGTGCCAGAGAGAAAAGACCTGACTTTGAAACCTAACTCTGCCGCTTTATTCATTATTGAGTGTCTGTTCTGTGTCAGGTACTGTGCTAGGCACTGGGAATACAAAGATGAATGAGACAGTTGGCTCTAAAGGACTAAGAGAAGAATGAGGAGACAGACGAGTATACAGCTGATCACACAATAGTGAGATGCTATCAACAGGGAGCTCCCTGGAGGGGTACCGAACCCTGACGGAGCGTAGTCAGGGTCACCAACCATAGAAGGTGAATTTGGAGAGGCGTCCCGAAGGATAAGGAGAAATAATCCACACAAGCGGGCAAGTCAAAGAGAAATACTCCAGGCAAAGAAAACACTAGGTGTAAAATCCTGGTGGTAAGAAGCTGTGCCCAGAGAGCTGAGGGACAGTGCCCAACAAAGTAACAGATTCTCAGTAAATACATTGGATTAATCAATGGCCGGAGTCCTGAAGGATACACCCAGAAAGATCAGCAAAGTCTTTGTATTGTGAAAGGTCTTGTATATTTTCTTTTCTTTTTTTTTTTTTAAAGATTTTTATTGGGGAATTGGGGGGATGGGAACAGTGCTGGGGAATTGGGGAAAGGGGAACAGACAAGTTGCTGTCGTTTTTGTTCTTCAGTCTAGTTGTGGAGGATGTTGCTTCACTGGCCCAAGTTGGCACCATCATTGCGCTGTTCCCGGGCAAGGCAGATCAGTCGCCGGCTTCTGGACGGCCGCTCATTGCGGCTGCTGGCCGCTCACGCTGGCTGCTGGCTACATACGGTAGCCCATGGCAACCCACTGCCACAGGCGCCGGCGACTCATGACATCCCAGCTCCAGGTTGAGCTATTGTTCAGCATCTTAGCTGTAGAGGGCAGTGTCACTGGCTCTCATATGTGGGATCCGAACCAGGGTCCTCTGGCATCCCAAGCCAGTTCTTAACCATCGCGCCACTCGGCCGGCCCAGGTCTTGTATATTTTCCTAAGAAGTTTCCATGTATCCTAAGGCCGAGGAAGAACCACAGATGCATTTGAAGGAGCATGTCCATTTTAGAAAGATCACTCCAGCTTGGATAATTTATTCGTGTAATGCTGCAAGCGGGGGGACTCATTAGGAGGGGAGCATTATAGGAAGGAAATGATGGACATCTAAGCTAAGGCAGCAAGAATGGACGTGGAGAGAGCAGAAGAATTTAAGAAATAGTGAAGCTATGGAGCCAACTGAATTTTATTATTGATTGTATCTGGATTAAGGAATAGGAGGAGACTTTTGGCTTAGGCAAACAGGAGGATAGTAGTACCCACTGCCAAGATGGGGACTTCAGAAGGCAACGTAGGTTGAGGAGGGAAGCTAATTAGTTTAGTTGGAAACATGTTGAGTTTGAAGTGTGTGTGGGGATATCAAAGGGAAGCCTCCTGCTACCTAACTGAACAGGGAGTCTAGAAGTTAGAAGAGAGATCTATGCTGGAACCATCAGGATAAGGGATAGTTTATGGAAGTAGAGGAAAACCCCAAGAGCAAAGGTAAGGTATAAGGATGGGACCTCCCCTGGAACCTTATGAAAATGCCAACATTTACAAGGTGAGGAAAGCAATATGTAGAGGAAGAACATCCAGAGAGGTGGCAGGACCAGGAACAAGTAGTTGCAGAGAAGCCAGGGGACAAATTGTCAACAGTATTAAATGCTCGAGAAAGGTCAAGAAAAAATGAGGACTGGAAGTACTTGCACTTAGCAACAAGGAGGCCATTGTTGTGTTTGGCAAGGAAGAGTTTATTGGGATAATGCAGTTAGTAACCTGATTGCAGCGCTCTGAGGAGTGGATGGGAGGAGAGGAGGTAAATAGAGGAAGTTCTTTTGGAGAAGGACTAAAGGGCAAGTAGGAAAGGAAAATAAAGGTATTGGGAAGAGAGTAAAACCATGGTCTGTGAAGGCTGCATAGAAAAACAAAATAATCCAGTAATACAAAATTCTTGCCTCGTTCCACCATCTCCTTCAGTTCAATGGCGTCACCATCCACAAATGGCTCAAGCCAAAAACCATGCAGACCTTCACGATTCCTCTCTTTTTCTCAGTCCTCGCATCCAATCCATGAGGAATTCAGGTCAACCCTACCTCCCAAACATTTTCACAGTCTGTCTCTTTCTGGCTCCATCACTACCACCCTAATACAAGCAGCATCTTCTGGGCTCCTATATAATAGCTTTTTAATTGGCTGGGATTTGTTTGTTTGTTTGTTTGAGGTGTTTTGTTTTGTTTTGTTTTGTTTTGCTTCCACTCTTGCTCCTATTCTCCACGACACAGCAAGCATGACATAAATCAGAAAACAGAAATCAGATCATGTCACTTCTCTTCTTAGAATCCACCCATGCCTCCTGATTGGACTTGGGATAAAGTCCAGACTCCTTTGCTGGCCTACGAAGCCCTGAG